AAAAAATTGTAGACCTATAAATTTCCACTGTCGTCCATCCGTCGTTTGTCTGCCTGCCTGTAGCGTTGCCAATTTAGCGAAAAAGTCGCTATATTTGGCGAGTTTTTGCTTTAGTTAGCACCCTTTTTTTTTGAAATTTAGCGACGGAGATTTTTCTTAGAGATATATTAGTAAATTTAGCTACATTTTAGAGATTTTCCACGAAATCAAAAAATTTAATAAATTTATTAATTTATATTATTTTTAATGTGCAATAATTACATGCATGAGTCGCAAATCTTATTTTTAATAAGTGGCAACACTAATCAGAGCTCGAGTTTTCATATCATGACCAAATATGGTAAATATTTTTAAAGGGGACGGAGCTTAGTGGGTATTATCGTCGCGACTATCGGTAACAGGTCTAATCCCGATTCAAATAGTTTATCAAACTTTAAGAAAATTGACAGTGATCGTTGTTACATTCAAAATTTTGGAATCCTTATATAAGTTACCTATCCCGGGTAAGAATCAAGTGTTGCCTGAGGGGGCGGGAACCCCACAGTGTCGACCCCCGTGTGATCAAATAATGTCAAATGAAAGAAAATACACTCAAGAATTTCGAATAGAATGGCTTCGTGACGATAGGTTTAAAAACTGGTTGCAGAAAATAGGAGAAATACAAAGTGTCGCTGTAAATATTGTAACTGCATTTTGAAAAAGTAAGTGATTTAGGAAAGCATAGGAAAACTCAAAAACATATAAAGGCTAAGCCATCGTTTAGCATTCAGCGGAGTGCAAATATTCTTCCATTTATGAAAAGTTCAAATGTTCATAGAACAGAGGGAAATATGACGCTTTTTATAGCAGAAAGTTGTCCTATTAGTCATGTAGACAAACTAACTAAATTCTGTACAACAAATTTTTCAGATAGCAAAAGTTGTAATAATCTGACTTGGACGAACAAAATGTTCAGCCATAATTTCAAATGTTTTAGCATCACATTTTAAAGAAAATTTAATAGTTGATATAGGTGATAGCAACTATAGTTTACTAATTGACGAAAGTAATGACATTTCAGTTTCCAAGCTTTTAGGTATTGTACTGTAATTAGATATTACTCTCAAAATAGAAAATGCATAACTACAACTTTTTTAGATTTAGTACCACTTAAAGAGTGCAATGCTGATGCAATTTGTGAAGCAATTAAATTTTCCTTGAGAAATAATGCCTTGGATTTGCATAAACTCGTTGCAATTGGAACAGATAACGCTTCTGTAATGATAGGAATCAATAATGGTGTATATGCTAAACTCAAAGCCGAAGTACCTGCTTTGATTCTGGTACGTTGCCTCTGTCATTCATTACAATTAGCGATTTCCCACGCTACAAAAGAAGGCCTTCCAAGAAATATAGAATTTCTTATTAAAGAAACATTTAATTGGTTTTCTCATTCTGCGATTAGACAATCCAAATACAAGGAACTCTATTCTTTGATGAATGATGGAAATGAATCATTGAAATTAGTACAAAGTAGTGAGACTCGTTGGATGTCAATTCAGACCGCTATTGATAGAATTTTGAGACAATGGAATGATTTAAAGGCAAATTTTAAATTGGCCAGAACAAACGAAAGATATTATACAGCAGAAATTTTGTTCTCAATGTTTGATGATCAAAGAAATTTCTTATTTCTTAAACCTGTACTTGATGAAGTTCAGAGATTAAATAAAATATTTGAATCTGAGAATAATGATCCTACGAAGTTGCTACAGGACTTGCTAAATTTAATAGAATCTTGTTGTTCTAAGATTGTTATTCCAGGAACAAAAATAACAAATGAAGTAGTAATTGAAAACCATTTAGCACTCAATCCATATTTGGGTTATCAGTTTGAAACTGAAATAAACAATTCTGCACTGTTAGATAAAGAAAAGAAAAATATTCGTAGTCGCTGCATTGCCTTCCTTTTGTCTCTTATAAAACAACTTCGGCAAAGGTTACCTGACAATACAGTATATCAATATTGAAAACCATGACGTCACTAAGTATTGACCAATACCTCAACCCAATTAAAAGTGATATAATAAACTTTGCGAAAATGTTTCTCACTGATGATGCAATATTAACTCGCATTGACTTTCAATGGAGGAAAATCCATACAATTCAGTGGAAAGAAACTTCCAGCACGATAAACCTGTGGATGGAGGTAGCTCAATACCGAGATGCTGCCAGAGATTTTCTCTGGCAGCATCTCGGTATTGACTCGGTATTGAGCTACCTCCATGACGTCACTTTCCTTTCATGACCCTTTCAAGACTTGGTCAATTTTGTTTTAAAAATTCTTTTATTACCTCACTCAAACGCAGAAGTAGAGCGTTTATTTAGTCAGATGAATATTGTTAAGACCAAACTGCGGAATAGATTGAATATTATTTCACTCAGTAGCATATTAACGATTAGATATGGTTTGAAAAGATTAGGGAAATGCAGCTATGATTATGAATTGCCAGCAAATGTCATTCGAAAAATAGGTACTATGAAATCATATCAACATTTACAGTTTGAAGCAGGACCATCTTTTGAACACAATGAAGAAATTGAAGAAGTAATGGAATTTAGCGACGAATTGACTTTTTGAATAAAGTTAAAAATAGATTAATTAAAGGTAGGTTTTTATTTTTTGTTTAGCCATTTTTTTAGCGAATTTTGAAAAATTTTTTAGCTATTTTTAGAGAGTTGTTTGTTTGCTTTTAGCTACTTTTATTTTTTTGAGTTGGCAACCCCAGTTTTAATTGCCTTATCTATATTCCTGCATTCTCACTTCAAATTATAATTTTAAGAAAATCTGTAAATGTGATGTGGCCCATGTGAATCTTGCCAGTTGCATTAACTGGCTCATCGTTTAGATGAGTTTGACACACCTGGGTTATAAGAATGCCAAAGTACTGGAATATAAAGAAAAAAGCAGTTTTTTTGAATGAATAATTATTCTAACATATTTTGAAAATTTAAACTCTATTATTAAAAATTTATTAGTATTGTGTAACTCTGGTTTTTTAATTTTAATAATACAATATTGCTTTAACATGAAAAAGAACTTTTGCTTTCTTTTCTGGCACTCAAACCATTAGGAAGTTTGATAATTTTCAGTTATACTAGGATATAAAATTTAAGCAATAACAAAAGCTGTAATTAAAGGAGTAATTTTGTTAAGTTATGATAAAAATCTCCATTTAAAAAATATCCAAGTTTAAAAAACATTGACACTAACCAAAAGTTAAAATTGTGTGTGGTGCCATCTGTTATGAGATGTTATTAAAATTAAACTTCTATATTATTAATTATTGTAAAAAGGTAAAAATGGCTTAATTTTATAGGTTGAGATGAGTCTAAAATTTTATAAATGGCAATAATGAGTAAAATTTTCATTTAGTCCAATCCCACTCAAGATATGACATTTACTCTGACTCTTCTTTCCCTCCCCACCATCTCAAGTTTCATACTCCAAAATTTAATAGCATCAATGACCCTTATATACAAATTACGATGTGAAATATTATGTCTTGATCAATATTCCCTCCTGAGATATTAAATGAAACACACACATTTAGTCATTCACTCATTGCAAATTTTTAATTTTTGCCATCTGTATTTTTATTCATGAGTCTCAAATATTGAGATTTGCAAAGAAACTTGGTGGGTCAAATTTATATGATTACTATACTTTCTATGTTATAACATCCAGGAAAGTAAAACTCCAAGGTATCTTTTAATATCATTTTTATTAATTGTCATAATTATGTAAGTAGTAATGCATTTATGGAACTTGATATCTTTAGTAAGTTTTTTATCATTTGATTCTCTTTCTATATGTAATGTCCATATATTGTATATATTGATGATATTCTGATTATATGGAGTTGGATAGTAAATATCAGTTATTTGTTGCAGTTTGAAATATACTTATGACATAAGTGACTTTAAAATTAAAAAGAAGAGCAGCTCAACACCACCTTCTTCAGTTTGCTATAAAATAACCAGATTTTTTAAAGATTTATGTTAGAGGATTTTGTGAAAATTTTGAAGCTGTATGATTTCCTAATGTTTCTCTTCAGATTATGAGTAACAACTAATTTACTTTAATTCATGTAATATATTTGTGGAACTATGTTAAATGTATTTGTTCTAATACACTTGTAATTTTCACAGCTGATGATCTTATAAAAGAACAAAAACTGTTCTGAAAAAAAAAAAAAAACTTTAGTTTCTTGAATTAAACATTTTTCTCATGTTTTTTTTTTTTTTTTTTTTTTGTATTTCTTACACTGACCTTGTCTGACTTTTTCATTAAATGTGTTAATAACAATATAAAAAGAGACAAACTAAACTATTATTATGGTGGAAAAATTTTTGTCATAATACTCAAGGATACACAATTCTGTAAAAGATGTTATGATTCAAATTCACTTGCTTAGAATTGAGTCTTATTCAAATTTTTTGATTTAATTGGCTATGATGTATGATGATATACAGTCGACCCCTTATAACATGGTAGATACATTCCATTCTTTATGAAATTGATGTTTTACAAGTACATGAGCCAATCACAGCCAGGCACGTATGCAGTTTACAGACTACGGCTGTTTGAAAGGTTTTCTTCCATAAAATTAATCGATTCTAGACAAATTCGACTCAACATTTTCAAAATACATATAATTTTTTGGGAATAATCCATATAAACTATGCTATAAACAAAAAATTGTAGGAGTACTTACCGAGTGTGCATCGTTTGACAATGCCATTGCTTAAGCTTGTTTTCGTCGTGGAGCTTGTCATTGAATGGTGTTTGCGTGCTTCCTGATAAATTATTTTTTTTGTGAAAAATTCACTGAACTTTGGAGACATCATTAATATAAATGTAATTTTTATGGACGTTAAATAATAAATGGTGTTTAGTATGTTCGCTGCTTGTTTAAACTCAATGGTTTGTACAATATCCACTATTGGTCTAGATTCGACCAATCCTGTCACAACACGCGTTGGCAATGACGTTTTACCGAATTATACGAGTTTTTTTAGCGTGTTTGTACGAATACTGTTGCAATTTTTTCGCCGTGATATAGGAATCCGAACTATATGAACTTGTGTTATAGGGGGGTCTACTGTACTTTCAAATATTGATTAGCTGATATTAGATTTTTGCATTATTTTACATTTTATGTTATATTTTATGTATTTTAAATTTTAGGAAGAAATTTCCCACGTCGACAAGATAAGAATTTAATTATAGAAGCAAAATTTGATGGTGAATTAATGTGTACTGATCCCGTTCTTCATGATAAGACTCCAACTTTTAATACAGAATTGGCATGGGAAGTTGATCGTAAAGGGTTGCAATTGCATCGTTTACAAAGATCACCCATTAAAATACAATGTTATGCTGCTGATATTGTAAGTCTTCAGAAGGAATTGATTGGTTATTTAATTTTGGATATTCGTTTAGCTCATGAGAAGTTACAGGTTTGTTGTTTTGAATTTTATTTGTATTATACAGTATGGATCAAATAAAATGCAATCCAGGAACAACATGGAAATAATAAGACATTGCAGACAATGACATTTTATTATGAAATCCTTATAATAAATATTGAAAATTGATCTTCTTCAATTTTGTCTGTGGTACATGGATTATTTTGTAAACAATATTTTTAAATACCATATTTACTTGCATATAAGATGAGATTTTTATTCATTTTTCATTGCTTCAAAAACCTATGTCATCCTATACGTGCAAGCAAAGGATTCTTTGCGTTTTTGCAATAATTTTTGTGAACCATGTGTTCGCATTTTTTATTGGATGCTCAACCTCTGGTGTTTAAAAACAAAAGTATTTTATCTGGGTCATTTAAATCATTCTTGTGTATTGTCAGGAGTAAAGATGAATATCAATGGGAGAAGCAAGGCTTTTGAATTGAATTCCAGATTGAAATCCAAAATCACACAAGAGCACGATATAAGTTTTAATCCATTCCCACACGAAAACAGATGATTATTTGGAAATTGAAATTTGGAGAAACCCTACACACCAACCGAATGCCGAAAATCTATCGGGCTAGTATAAGGCTAATTATTAAATGAAATTACGTAATCAATTTGGCAAATTGATTACGTAATTTCATTTAATAATTAGCCTTATACTAGCCCGATAGATTTTCAGCATTTGGTTGGTGTGTAGCTTTATTATATATCGGGTTTAGAGATGTTTGGAGAAACCCGTAAGTGTAATTGACAAAGAGTGGATTCAATGGTTAAGAATTGGCAAAAAAAGTTTCCCCGATTGTCCAGCTTTACATGAACAAATTATGTTGTCGATTTTACAAGATTTTTCTTTACTGTTTAAAATGCCAGTAATTTTTGTGANCACCCCCTTGCACCCCCTCGCTACGCCACTGCCCTTGGTTGCCCCAAATTTATACCCTTTAACTTTCTTTACCACTGAGGCGCCCCCTAGGACTTAGCGCCTGAAGCGGCTGCTTTTTTCGCCCTATGGTAGGACCGGCTCTGCTCGTGCCCATCTTTATCTCTGCCTCCTGTCCTCGAATCGACATCTTCCAATCACCGGAAGTCGACTGATTTGTCCCGGAGTTGTCGAGACGGCGAGGGAACCGTCATTCGCGAACCACGGACACTCCTCCTTTTGGGACTATCTTGGAAAAGAGAGGAAGATCGACGGTTCGCTGCCGACTAAGAACTTCCAAGATCGCGTAAATCTTGTAAGACCCTTTTGTGTCAAATAAACGGTTTCTTGTAACCGTATTCTGTCTCAATGACCTTCGCACCCACATACCCTCTGAGCGACCCCTCAATTCTCTTGACATTCTCTCCGTCGGAGTCTTACACTTATATTTTGTACAGTACAAGTAGAAGTATAATGGAATGTCAACAGAACGTTTATTTGTACATTTTTTTTTTTTTAAATCAATTTTAGCATTTTATCAGTCGGTATAAAAGTATAGCTGTTAGCAAAATCGAAAAGTATGAAAAAGGTGATTCTTATAATCGAACAAAGACTTTCGAAAATTTAGTAGCCGTCTAATGGAGACTACCGGATGGCCGAGCGGTCGAGGTGGCAGTCCAACGCTCTGAAGGACCCAGCATCGAATCTGGGCGGGTCGAAAAATCCCCAGGAATATTTTGGGGGTGGTCCGACCAGATATGTCGGCCCTCGTCCCTCACCACCCGGCTGCCTCATGTGGATCTGGCCGAACCCATAATAGGCTTGCTACAAGAGGTGCTCTTAGCAGTGGCGTAGCTTAGTGGGGGCGTCCAGTCCCGGGCGGCACTTTTAGGGGGCAAAATTTCACAATAAATAATAATAATATCTTGTAAAAATTTGAACCATTTCATTTCATATTTTTGTCGCACCTACGATCCGGACCGATTGAAATGAGCACGGAATTTTTCATTACTTATTCTGTGACGAAACTGAATTTTAGTCTTTTAAATTGAGATACCTAAATAAGGGCGAAATTTTTCTCCGCCCCGGGCGGCTGACACCCACGCTACGCCACTGGCTCTGGGCGAAGAGTTAAAAAAAGCGCCCTCTAACGGAAAAAAGACACGAAATACCAATGAGAAGGCGATATGTACTGTACAGTACAAAAATGCTAATTGCGAATTGAATTTTTTAAATAGTTAACGGTTATTTTGAGAATAAGGCGTATTTCTGAAATTATCGTACATCGTACGGCCCCCGAAATAATCGTACAAATACGATAATTATCATACAGTATAATTGGCAAATCTGGCATCATGCATTCCAGTCTTCAGATACCGTGTATCTGACGGCTGGATGGCATGACACAAAATAAACTTATTTACGTACGCTTTCAAAACTACGCTTGAATTATTTTTTTATTATTTACACGAGAAATATTTTATATTTCTATAATGTAAATTATAAATAAAAATTTAAATATGTATACCGTATAAATTAATCTAATGAAATTTTACCGAGTTGCGCCCTCTGTGGTTTGACAAAATGGCGGTGTTTTGAAAAGTCGAAGTTGTGGTTGGGTTGTTTTAGTATACATGGCATGTATCATCGAGTTTTAAATAGTTTTTAAAGGAGATGATATGGGGCCTAGTTTTCTAATTGTCGTCTCAATTTCGGAAGGTAAAACAGTTTTGATTTTTATGTATATAAATGCTGTTTTGGAGATAAAATTATAAATTTTTTTAAATTGAAAATAACGATGTATGTCTTTAGCGAGAAGTATAAATAATAAAAGTTTGATATATATTTATAGATTTTATTAAACTGGTCAAATGTTTAGACGATATATTAAAGTAGTTAAATGGTAAATTAATAATTGTAAATTCATAAACTGGTAGAACTCTTTAGATAATTTATTTGTTTATGAATGTACAGGGTGTTCCATAAGCCTGGCGCCCAAAGGAGTTATATTATAATAATCATGTTTGATTATTATATTATAATAATCATGTTTGATTATTATTTTACAGATGAAGTGTAGAGCTGAGTAAAGAGGAATGAATTCAAGTTATTTGGATGATGATCTTCAGTTGGCTTGGTCACGTAAGAGTTTGAGACTTGTAGCTGAGTGCTGTGTATGATTGGTGGGAAGTCTGCATGCATCCTGTTAAACTCTGGTGGCTTCACATTAACCAAGTCCTCATCATCAAAATTTGAAACTTGAATTTGTTCCTCCTTATTTGGTGCCATGCTTCATTTGTAAAAGAATAAATAAATAATTAACATAACTCCTTTGGACTCCTGGTCAGATTTATGGGACACTCTTTATAAACAAATTACCTAAAAGTAAGTTCTACCTGTAAATTAAGAATGTTTTGAATTTGATAGTTTTAGATTATACATTTCTAAAGTTTTCTATGGATTTGTCTGTGTTTTTTATTATAATACATTTTTTCTTTGATTATTTAATTTTGAAATTTTGCATATGTTGACTGTCATTTTATTGAAGCGGAGCTTCTTCTAAGAAGCTTACAGAATTGTGTTTGTTCTCAAAATCCGTTTGATAGATTTTGATTAAACTTTGCCATTTTCCTTTAATTGTGATGCGGAATCCAAAAATGGAATAAAAAAGGGGGTCCATGACTCGAGATATAAAGTCATTTCACAAGTGCGTGACAAAGCGATGTCGCATGAACTGTGCAACTTTGTTGTACGATGTTTCATGGTTGCTAGCACGTTTTGTATGGGCTTATAGAATTGAGTTTGTTCTCAAAATTTAATGGATTGATTTTGATAAACTTTGACATTTTCCATTAATTGAGATAAGGAATCCAGAAATGTAATGTGAGTCCATTTAAATGTAAAAAATGCAGCAACGAATTAACTTTTCCAGCAATATTTAAAATTCTGGTGGTGCTATCTGTTACAATAATTCATTAAAAACTGTTTACATTTTTAATTACAGTACTAAAAAATAGCAAAAAGTTTAATTTTAAAGGTTTTTGGATTTAAGGATTTGAATGTGTTATATAAAAAAATTGTAAGTGCTGATAACGAGTAAAATTGTCATTAAGTCCAACCCTACTCAAAATATGACACACAACTACCCTTTATCACTCTACCCTGTCGACCTTAAACCACTAAAATTTAATAGCATGAATCTAATACACAAACCTTCCATCAAAATTTCAGAAATTTTCAAAAGCACAGGAGTTATTAAGCTTCAAAGAGTTTGTTCTCAGTCTTTGAATCCAGATATTGGAAAACTAATAGGAGGAAGATAGTGCTGGCAAGTTTCTGATGAAAACAATTAATTTTCGTTTTATAAAAAGTTAAATAAAATAAATGTTTAAATAAAAGCAATGCTATAGCAATTATACAATGTATATTGTTGAGTCAAATTCACTGAACTACATAATGTGTTTTAAGTAGCGTTGCCAATTTAGCGAAAAAGTCGCTATATTTTTGCTTTAGTCGCGAGTTTTTGCTTTAGTTAGCACCTTTTTTTTGAAATTTAGCGATGGAGATTTTTCTTAGAGATATATTAGTAAATTTAGCTACATTTTAGAGATTTTCCACGAAATCAAAAAATTTAATAAATTTATTAATTTATATTATTTTTAATGTGCAATAATTACATGCATGAGTCGCAAATCTTATTTTTAATAAGTGGCAACACTAATCAGAGCTCGAGTTTTCATATCATGACCAAATATGGTAAATATTTTTAAAGGGGACGGAGCTTAGTGGGTATTATCGTCGCGACTATCGGTAACAGGTCTAATCCCGATTCAAATAGTTTATCAAACTTTAAGAAAATTGACAGTGATCGTTGTTACATTCAAAATTTTGGAATCCTTATATAAGTTACCTATCCCGNAGTGTAATTATAAATTCAGTTGTAAAATTAGAAAATAATTATAATTACAACAATTAAAGGTGCCAACAAATAGTTTGATGAGTTTAAAATGTTTACTTCCAGTGTTAATTTCTACATAATTGTCCATTTTTCATTAGTTAAAGT